GGAAGGTATCGGCAGATTGATCACAAAAAGATCTCACCGTTGGAAGGGCATTTGTATTTTGCTATGTCATTCTAACCTCGTGGTGCCAGGAAAAAGCTCAAAGGTTCCGTAAAAAGCGCTTGTTCGGCTTTACAGTCTTACACATACGAAATGAAGCTTGTCAGCGACGGAAGCCTTCAACAGGGTGTTCCTCGTTTGATTCTGAGTACATTAGTGAATAGCTTGATGTGTTTTGGCGATATCTTAATGCTGTATTGCTCAGTGGACCAGTGTCGGCCGCGCCGTCCGCGCAGCCCGCAATCGCCGCGCGCTGCTCTTCAAAAACCCCCGCTACCACGAAAATAAAAATGCAAGGACATGTTTTTGTCTCAAAACATGCCCAATGGATCCTCCATAGGCCTCTGAAAATTTTGGCGTGATTGCACACATGCCAGAGAGATATCCTCCGAAAAAGGGGAATTCGCCTCGACCCTTTTAACAGGGCAAGGCTTCAAGGGCCTGCTCCAAATATGCATGAAGTTTGTAATTTGGTTTGAATTTAATTAGGAACGCATCAATAGACAACCAGAGCTGTTGCGGTTAATCAAAGAGCAAAATAATAACCAAGAAATAAATAACTGATGTCGCGATGAGTGTTTTTGGGTGCGAAATGTTCGGACATGGGACTCAAGTCCTTCTGGGGAACTTATGTTTAACAATAAAACGAAGTTGAAGCATGCAAACAGCACGCAAGACAAACAGGTGTCGCTCAGAACTTACGCTACGTTTTTTGGCCATTTGTCAACGCTCACTCGTCCCTGTTTAGTTGGACGGTCTCCTGGTTACGCTGTGTTAAGCGTAACATCCCAAAAAGAAGCGGAAGTGTGACCCTTAACCCTGCATTGACCGGGATCCTCGCCTGACCTAAGCAGGCATAGTGGGGCACCTCCTTATCTTAAGAACGACCGGGCCAAAATTTAACAAGAAATAAAATCGCAATCGTTAGCGTCGTAGCGTGCGGCTTGAAACCACACAACAAACACAATTTTAAGTTTGTGTTGAGATCACAGGTCAAGGTCAAATTGTGAAAATGTTACTTTGGAGTAGATGACCGCTCCGCAACGCATTTTATTTAGAAGTGTATCTCACGGTGTGAAGTCATTGCGCCTTGATTAAACATGCCACATAGGAAAGTATTTAATGTTTTGCGCGCCGAACCAGGCCTATAGCTAAGGTCACGTGCCAAACAAAATAGAGCAGTAGCCTCGGTCTATATGTCTATCTTGTTCTATATATTCCGTCATATTTGAGCCATCTAAACGCAAAACTGGAGGGCCAAGCCGCAATTATGGGCATCAGACACGCGAACAAGAGCTGTTACTTGTCCATTAAGCGTTTAAGGTCATTGCCAAATTGATGCCCCCGGTGGTTCGAGGTTTTAGTCCTGCCCGTCACCGCGCCGTGCGTCGCGCCGCCCAGTCTCCGCGCCGCCGCGGCAGACCGGAAGCCTGATGCCCGTCACCGGGGGCCCAGGTCCCGCTGGGCATGGATGACATGAGCTACGGTGCATTTCAAGACATAACTGAGTCATGGTTACAGAAAATCGATTGAAATTTGGTACAGACATACCTTATATTCATTTTCAGAACGTGCTGTTTCAGGTTTTCATAATTTTACGTCGAAGGGAAAAAATAAGACGTAAAAATGTTGACATCGTCAATGTTGCTGTCCGACACGCAAATATTTAAATTTGCAATATTGAAACAACCCAACGACGAGGGATATGAGTGATGGAATCACTGGTTCACATTTCCTGTCGACAGATATCATGTTCTACCATTCGGCTTCTGTGTCAAAGTGTCTCCTGCTGTAAGTTTTTTCTAAAAAATTGTGCGAACATGACGTCACTTTGACGTCACTTACGCGTGATCTATAATGGTCCCATAGTTATTATTTTGGCACAAGGCGCATAACTCATCAATTTACAGCTACTTATGTTTCAAAGCGATGTCCTAAGGCATTTTTGAATTATCGCGAATATTAGACGGGGGCTAGACTTGACCCGCTGTCAACGCCGTGTTGAAGGAAATATTTCACATTTCAATGTACTGAAACAAGCATCAGATATGATGACATAAACTGACTTACACCTATTGCAGTACTTAAAAGTTGAAAAGACTGTTGCATGTGCGTCTGTGTATTGCAGACATTACAGAACACAGGCGTTGGAAAAAGCAAAGCAAAGGAATTATGCTGCTTTCAGTGTTGAGCTAGAAGTCAAATGAGATTTCTCCCACGGAGTCGCCACTTGAAATTCAAATTTTGAGCTAGAAGGATTTCGAGAGAACTGCTATTACGAACCAAATTGTACACTTTTGATGTAACTCTAAGCGAACGGTACAAAAACGTGGAATACCCCCTTTAAAGAGAGTGTTCCATATTTGCATGGTGTTTTGAACTAAAATAGCCATCTTGAAGATCATTCAGTGCAGTTCTCCGTCCTGTGCTCCTTAAAGCTTAAGCCCCGCAAGTTTCTAAGCTACACGGCCGCGAAAATGTGCACACTATTTTGGGGAAACTAGTTCAAGGCCACCCAGGAAGGCATGATGCAATAATCACGCCATTCAAATCCTGCCTTTCCGCAAGCCATGCGGCAATAAAGGCCAAGACAAACAGAATGGTCGAGTTGCTCATATCTGGCATTCGTGAGCACTACTTAAAGGTATAACGGTCACCAATTGGTTCTTAGTCAATGTTGTGCACAGTGCGATGACGTAATCAAGCGAAGCTATATTGGGGAGTATTTACAAAGCAAATAATTTACGTTGCCTGGAGCAGCTTTTCCACTTCAAAGTTTACAAATAGGCACAAACGACCTTATTTTACCATATCTGTTGCCGCTTCGATGCCTTCAAATGTGTAACATTTCCTTCAAGCCACGTCAAACCAGAATGCTGGGAAGATGAAGCGTATTAAGAGAAGATATCATTATTTTACCGCCAATCCAGACACTTTTCATCCATAATCCTATTACGAAACGCCCCATTTAAGCCAAAACCACGTTGCACGCTTTGGTAGATCAGAACTTGTGTTGATGGACATACAAGGCACCTAGTCGTAAAGAGGATTATATGCCTGTAAAGGATGTCTGCCTAGTATAGAGGCGTTCATGTCGCCAAACTGTTACATAACAGTTCAGCCGACAGCCATTGTTATAAGGTTATGTTTTTTTCCTTGAGTACTTCAACCTTTGCATTCACTAGCTTGCAAGCTCTAGCAAGCTTTATTGATCGCACCGATGAAGAGTCCGGTAAGACAACATGATCTTCAGAATTCCTACCTCAATACATGATATGATATGGGTTATGTTGTGATGCATTTCATATAAACTTAATTTACAAAGTACTTCTCCGAGCGTAACTCTTGTGTTAAGGATCTGTGAACCAAACGAAGCCTTGCTGATGGATAGTTACAGAATGGAGTGAAATGAGTAAGTCGGGTAACTGATGACAACGGAAAGCATTGCGAATTAGTTTCCCTCTTTTCATATTTTCCAATGTTTTAGTTTTTAAACAGCGGCTGGTATGCGAAATTCAAGCCTGTCTGTCGTATAAACATGTGCTGTAAACGAGGCATGCATTTCAGGGTGCTTGTATTTTGGTTACACAGGTAATAGTTTGCAAGCTCTGTTCGTGTCGATCCATGAGCTGCGCAGGCACGAATTCAGGATGTTCGCAAAGTCATTCCAGGGTCAGGTCCAAGACGTCCAAATGACTTGTCAGTGGACATCACTATCGAGAGCCATACTGAACTGAACTTAACCTTGGAAAAATCCATAAAATTACTTAAACAACTGTAAAACTGCTCAAGAGGTCCTTGACAATGGGTGTTTGACAGATAACCCATGGTTTTGTGGGTGCAAATGGGGGTCTGCGATAATTGTCAAAATTAACACACAAAATGTATGCTAATTTTGGGGATCTCTGGCAGCGCGTTTTGAGACTTGAGAAACAAAATGCAAGTGCGCGCAATAGCTAATGAAAGAATGAATTGAATGGACAGAACATAAACATGTCAATGCACCATTAACCATGTCAGCAATCGGTCGGTTTTTGGACATCACCGATTTGAATAGCGTTCTGTGGCAAGAAAAAATGATCGGCCAGAGATGGAACGAAGCCTGCGGAATGTCGAATGAGCTAAGTATACGGTAACCTGCGGCAGGACGGTGACAGAGCGGTGATACGGTGACCTGAGTGGTGAGCGGTGACACGGTGACCTGGTGACAGAGCGGTGATACGGTGACCTGAGTGGTGAGCGGTGACACGGTGACCTGGTGACAGAGCGGTGATACGGTGACCTGAGTGGTGAGCGGTGACACGGTGACCTGGTGACAGAGCGGTGATACGGTGACCTGAGTGGTGAGCGGTGACACGGTGACCTGGTGACAGAGCGGTGATACGGTGACCTGAGTGGTGAGCGGTGACACGGTGACCTGGTGACAGAGCGGTGATACGGTGACCTGAGTGGTGAGCGGTGACACGGTGACCTGGTGACAGAGCGGTGATACGGTGACCTGAGTGGTGAGCGGTGACACGGTGACCTGGTGACAGAGCGGTGATACGGTGACCTGAGTGGTGAGCGGTGACACGGTGACCTGGTGACAGAGCGGTGATACGGTGACCTGAGTGGTGAGCGGTGACACGGTGACCTGGTGACAGAGCGGTGATACGGTGACCTGAGTGGTGAGCGGTGACACGGTGACCTGGTGACAGAGCGGTGCTCACGTGACGGAGGGCGGCATCTGGGCCTGAAAAGGATGTTCGGCACGATGAACCCTGGTTACGGCCGTCGTCGCTAGCCCGGCCGGTATGCGACCGCAGAATCGCAGTACCCATACCCCATTTCTCCGTCCACATAGAGCCGTGTCCGTCTCCCGGGAAACCTGACCGGAGCTGGAACCGGCCTATATAAGCCGAGCCGTCCGGCTGCCTGGGATGAGCTCGGTGGGCGGCGGCAGCGACAGTGTGCAGCGGCAGCCCTCCCGCCACGCCATGCAGGTGTCCTGGGTAAGTGCAGCCACTGTGCGTGTATTTGGTGCCCATGAATTGCATAGCACAAACATTGCACCAGTGGCGATTGGCTCATGAATGGTCATGGTTGGTTCGCTCTGATAAGGGGCTGGAATAATAATACGTCCGTTAACGTTTTATGTGCGACATGTCGTGCAATCGCGCGCAAATCTTCGGTAGCTATTGGGCATTCCATGCGTGTACCTTTGACGCCAAAAATCTTCCCCACCATTTCTAGTTTCTTAGAAGCGACAGCTTTTCACGGTTAATGCGCGGCGATACGCGGCGGTCGCGGGCGGCCTTCGCCAGCCGATGGAATTCTCTATCTCGCGGCAGGCCGACGCCCAGCAGGCCGACACTTTTACAGTTTTACAGTTGAGGGAGTGGTCAACATTCGTATGCGATTTTAAACTCAGATGGTCATTGTTAAGATCATTCAATCTAATTTACAGTCATGCAACCTTAAGACTTAAAATCCTCTTTTTCTGAGTGAGACGTATGCGAACTTGTCCAGACTACCACGCACAGCTTATTTAAAGTTCACCCAGACATGCATGACGCCATAGACACATCCCGAGAATACAGCTATCTGGATAGTCATGTGGTCATATAGCATCCGCTGCTGGGTGCGTTGTAAAGCACCATCGATGGCCATGTAGTGCTCAAGACAAATATAATCGTCGAAATATCCGCGTCTGGCGTAGGTCAGCACAATTGATGGAACTAACGGACAGCAGTTGGCTTGCAACCAGTTAAACGCGTTGAGAGCAAGTTCCAAACACGAATTAAGTTTTGTGCTTCATGACACGGGAATTCAGGCATGGTGCTATGTATAACGGAAATGAGATTGGGGATCGAGTAAGTTAAAGGGAATATTCCACAGTTAAAATATTGAATCGAGCAGCAGCTATGATGAAATAAGCTAGCTTTAAACTATTGATATACTTTAATCTGGAAAGACACAATTCACAATTTGCACAATTCCTCTTCTGCACATGTTTTTTCTAATTGCACAATTCCTCTACTTAATATAATAAACCTGCTGCTCAAGACGTCGCTGCTGGATTACGCCACCGTACCTTTCACAACATTGATTGGCAGTCAATCGACGACCGTTTTATCTCGAAATCGTGGTCACGATCGCTAGACATGAATGACTCGACAGTTGCATTTTTAGTGGCCTTGATCACCGCATGACTGCTGGAATGAAAATATATGAATGGCGTTATAATCCCGTCGTGGATACCTGGGTGACCTTAAAGTAGTATCACCGAAGAAGTCTGTGCATTTTCGCGGGCGTGTAGCTCAAAAACTAGAGGAGTCTAGGTCTAAGAAGGTTAGGATTGTGACCTGCACCGAATGATCTTCAAGATGTCTATTTCAATTCAAAGCCCCTTTCCTAATGTGGAATGCTCCCTTTGCTCAAATGGTGGAATGCTCAGAAGAACGCTGTAACCGAGTATGTAAATGCCAAAAGGCATAAATCGCAGACAAATATTCAAGTACACCATGAGAATGAGTCAAAACTACCACACCCTACGATATTCAGATTCAGCAAGCACGCGCTAGCGAACAGTCCACCTTTCGGCCAGGTTCAAATGCTACAAGCGAGTCAGCTTGTCTGCTACAATGGGAGTTCTGACAGAGCCAGTCCGGCAGCGACTCTGATGTCACTCGAGAGTTGCATGGCGTTGTCTGATGTCATATGAAAGTTCCATGACGTAATCAAACGATGGCGTATTAAAATTGTTATTCTAACAGTGAAATTTGGTTGTTAGCAGCAGTCTTTTGCATCTGAAAGCTTACCGAAAATGGGAAGTGAGTGTTTGCATTATACGTGATTTTGACCTCAATACCTTTGAATGCTATATCTAATTTTTTCCAAGCCCCTTTCGAGGGACTATTCTACATTTGAAGATATTAGGGCATCATTTATGATGGAAAGCGCTCACTCACAACCATTGACATATTTATATATATATATATATATATATATATATATATATATATATATATATACATGTGTGTGTGTGTGTGTGTGTGTGTGTGTGTGTGTGTGTGTGTGTGTGTGTGTGTGTGTGTGTGTGTGTGTGTGTGTGTGTGTGTGTGTGTGTGTGTGTGTGTGTGTGTGTGTGTGTTTGATGTTTGTATCGCCAAATGTCATTTGGTTCAGGCCCCATAGCTTTCATCCAGTTCTATGTGATACTGACCAGTGACGAAACTCATCATGTCATGATATACATAGGTGTTGGTAATAATGGGATAAGTAATTCGGCGATTACAAGCATATTGTCGTTGTTCTCATCATGACCAGCTGTTCTACAAGCAGGAGCCAGAAGACTTGGTGCTGTACAGGCGTGGTCAACTACTGAAGTTTTGTATTTCAGGTGTTGTTGGTGGTCGCCTTGTGCGTCTACGCAAGCAGGGTCGACGCCCAATGCGACTGCCGGCCACCAGCCCTCTGCCCTGGAGCGTACCGACAAGTGCCTGTGCAGCAGTGCTTCCTGCCGGGCCGAAGACTGGGTGTTTGCTGCGGCCAGCCATCCATCCCTACGTTCAGTGGCGGAGGCTTCCAGACGGGCCAGGGTGGTTTCAGCTTTGCAAATGTAGGAGTGGGAGGCGTGGGGATCAGCCTTGCGACAGGCAATCTGCAACAGGCCAAGCCATCGCGGATCGGGGGAACGAGAGGCCCGGCCGGGCAAAGCGGGTGTGTTCCGTTGGTGCTGTGCCCGCCGGCGGCAGTCTCGCCCGGCTATCTGCAGAGTAACGGCTGCCAGCTAGGCGACGGCTCCCTCGGCATCTTCTGCACGTTCGCGGGGACGCAGTTGGCGGCCAGTGGTCTCCAGGGGCGGCAGCCATCGGGCGGCGGCAAGTTCTCTTCGCTGGACCAACTGCGACCGCTGACGTCCGACGCAATCGGCAGAGCCGGCGCGCCGCTCGCGCTGCGTGCGCCAACACAGCAGGCGCTGTTCACAGCGGGACAGGCTGGCCTCCAAGCGGTCAACACCCTCACCTCCACTACCTCCCAGCTGCTCAACTCCGGCCAGGTGCCCAACGTCAACAGCCCGACGGCACTGTTTTTCCTGAACGCGCAGTCTAGTGATCTGGAACAGAACCTGGGAATGCAGGGGTTGCAGTCGATCATGGCGCTGACCAACCTACAGAGTCAGGGGGGAGGCGGTGGTGGCGGCGGTGGCGGCGGCATTTTTGGCGGTGGTGGTGGCGGCGGCGGTGGCGGCAGCGGCGGCAGCTTCTTCCCCACCACCGGTGCCGGACAAACCAGCTTCTTCCCCGCCACCGGTGCCGGACAAACCAGCTTCTCCCCCGCCACCGGTGCCGGACAAACGTCAGTCCAAGTACCGAACTGCACCCCCGAAGGGTCCATTAGGTGCGACAACAGTATTTACCGCACCCTAACCGGCGAGTGCAACAATCTGCAGCGGCCGCGGCTCGGTCGAGCACTGACCGGTCTCAAGCGACTTCTCCCCAACACGTACGACGACAACCTGTTCGCCATCCGAACGAGAGCAGTCCGCGGCGGCACACTGCCCAGTGCGCGGCTGGTGAGCGAGCGCGTGCTGGATACGTTGTCCAACGAGCTTAATGATTTCACACTGTCGCTGATGCAGTTCAGCCAGTTCGTCGACCACGATATGTCGCACGCACTGGTGTTCCGTCTTAATTCTGGCAACGGCATCGAGTGCTGCGAGAACAACGGTCAGACATTCCCGACGGTTCCTCGGCACCCCCAGTGTATCCCCATCCCCATTCCGGCCGATGACCCGTTCTACAGCCAGTACGGCCAACGCTGCATGAGTCTGGTGAGATCCTTGCCGTCCCCGCTGTCGGACTGCATCCCACGGGCTGTCAATCCATTAAACGAGCTCAGCTCCTTCCTGGACGCGTCCAACGTTTATGGCAGCAAGCAGGAGGACCTGAATGCGATACGCGCCTTCCAGGGCGGCTTGATGCTTACCAGCCAGGGTCAGCTGCTGCCATTGACGGGCGCAAGTGTATCGGACAGACCGTGTCGTGCTTCCATCTGCTTCCGAGCCGGCGAGACGCGCGTGAACGAGCAGAGTGGTCTGGCCGTCATGCACACGGTGTTCGTACGCGAGCACAACCGGATCGCACGCGGGCTCAAGAACGTCCACCCCTTCTGGGACGACGAGCGCCTGTTCCAGAACGCCAGACGAATTGTGGCGGCCGAATGGCAGCACATCCTCTACAACGAATGGCTGCCGATTGTCGTCGGCTTCGATTATGCCGATGCGCACGGTCTTCTGCCTCTGCAGTCCGGATTCTCCAACTATTATGACCCGAACATAGATCCCAGCATCTCTAACTCGTTCGCTTCTGCTGCTTTCCGATTCGGTCACAACATGGTACGAGACATGTATGACCTGATAGACGCCAACGGTCAGGTGTTCCGAACGGTCAACGTCTCCACGACCTTTTTTGAGCCGACTGTGGTGGCACAGAGCTTGGCGGGGCATGCTCGCACCCTAGTCGCCAGACGTTCGGAAACTTCTGATACAAACATGGCACATGCCGTGCACGAAATGCTCTTCACTACCAATTTCCGATTTGGTTTAGACCTTCTCTCCCTGAACATTCAGCGAGGTCGAGATCACGGAACTCCAACGCATGCCCAGGTGTTAGAGGCTTGTGGTATTGCGAGGGTACAGTTCTGGGGCGACCTCAACCGTGTGATGGACTCTCAGGTCATTGACCGGCTGCGGTCTGTTTACGATGATCCACGAGACGTGGACCTTTTCATCGGTGGGGCGATAGAGCGGCGAGCCCCTGGCGCCCAGGTGGGACCCACCTTCCAGTGCCTGGTCGGGCAGCAGTTCTTCGACCTACGGTTTGGAGACCGTTTCTTCTACGACAACGGCGGCTTTGCGCACAGTTTCACACCCGCACAGCTGGCGGAGATCAGGAAGAGTAGCTGGGCGCGAATTATGTGTGACACCCTCGGTCCTCAGTTTGGAAATGACTTCACTAGGGTTCAGCCATTAGGTTTTATAACGACTCTTGGCCAGAACCAGGTAACTCAATGCAATTCACTGGCGATTCCTACCGTTGACCTCGGGGTGTTCTAACGGGGTGATGTACTGCACTGTTGCAAACTCTGTAAGCATGAAATCTCGTTTTGTATGTCGTCGTTGAAGTCATCAAAGTTAACAATTTCTGAGCGCTGCTGAAAGAGTATCTAATCAGTGGAACTATGGCATGTGATGCAGAGCAAGAAATCCCAGCTTTCCTGAACCGTGAGTTATTTGCAAGTGCTGTAAGGTGAAAATTGTGAATCTTAAGGGCCGAGAAAAGGTCGGTTTCTTCGCATAGGCGGTTTCCTTGAAATGCATGTTTGGCCTAGCTCGTTTGGTTGCACCTAGGCAGCCAGATGAGTTCAACTGGTTGTTTTACCTGCGACGCCAGAGGGAGCCAGGAAAGTGTTGCCACCATGTTATGCCGCGTGGTGCAATGCGGCATGACTCGATTATTATTACAGGGAGTGTGATGCGAGCCTCAATCCGGTGGAATGGCCCATCGTTGGGAATGATATTGCAGTATGTTTTCATTTCGCAGCCCAAGAGTGCCACTTTTCCTGACAGTGGTGGCTTCAGTAAGCAGTACAAGCGGAGACAGCTGTATGATCGGGTTGTCATTTTAACACATGCTTAAAGGCATTTCGAAGTATATGTCGAATATACCCAGGTGTTTTTGGATCGCTGTTTTGTTCTGTTATCTGTGAATGAATATCGTGCAGTTGTTCTCGCGTCAGAAATGTTACAAGACTTTGTCATTCTTTACACTGGAATGCCCATCTCTGAGGCTAACCCACACTGGCTGCGTTTAGTTGCACAACATCACTGCGAAAGATGGGACTGAACGGAACTCAACAGCAGTAACCTTGTAACCAATGAAATTTCGCATAGCGCCCCTCACTGCAGCCTTGGTGCGAAACAGGACGGAGCGCCAGTTCTTCGCGGATGGTTGGTGCATATCATGCTGATTAAACGGCAGTTTATGAGACGTTTACGTGGCTGATTTACTCCGGCTTTCCCGACTCCCCGACTTTCTGTTTACAAAAAAGACATGCCTTTGCTTTGTAAAATAACGAAAGCTGCCTCTCGTTAATTTGGCCCATTTTGTCTTCGTTTTGTCAAATGCTGCCACATTGTGGAGAGAATCAGTACCTATTTCAAGAGCAACTCACTGAACGACGGGCTGTACTAAGGTTTCTGAGTTCCGGGCAGCATAAAATAGGATACACGCGTTTCTCTGACCTAGCTGCTGTGTCAACAGCTCCTGTTATGACAACCTCACCGCCTGCCATGATACGTGACTACCATTTGTATTTTATCAGTTCTGGTCATGTGTTCGTCGTTAGAACCATGCTCGTTCCGTAAAATCATCACCGGTTTTAAAACTGGAACATGACCGAGCGCAGGGGCGCAAGTTCACAAAATAGGCAGGCGCCAGCGGCCGAACAGCGAAAAATGACTCAGACTCCCTGAAATACATCAGCAAATGGGCTCCTCCCGGATCTGGGCGTCTCTCTCTCTCTCTCTCTCTCTCTCTCTCTCTCTCTCTCTCTCTCTCTCTCTCTCTCTCTCTCTCTCTCTCTCTCTCTCTCTCTCTCTCTCTCTCTCTCTCTCTCTCTCTCTCTCTCTCTCTCTCTCTCTCTCTCTCTCTCTCTCTCTCTCTCTCTCTCTCTCTTCTCGAAGTTGTAGGGCAGTTAGCAATGTGGCGTTTATCTCCGATGAATGCTCTGATTTACGTACATTGTAGGGGCGCAACCAGATCTGTATTAACGAGTATTAGAGGGACGGGGAGCAGAATGGTTAAAAAAGGGCCCCAGCAACCTGCCCAAATAAAACAAAGTGGACAAACAATTTGTAGTACATGACCAATTCATTTTTGCTTGAAAATGTTCAACTTTCAGTCAGAAACGATAAGCGAAAAAACGAGGTAACTTAGTATTAAGCATGCCCACTCAAAAATCCTAGCAACAAAAAACTCCACACCCATTGCCGCAGTCTCTATGGGCCATGCGGCGTCGGCCCAGCCCCAACCTCACGGGTAACACTTAGCGGTGACCAATGGGTGGACGAAAATGAGAATGCACCTGTAAGAAGTATAGAGCCCTTGATGGCATTAATTTATGTATTAAGAAGGTAGCCCGGGTGCATATTTCACCTGCACGATTTTTTAAATTGATTGTAAAATGGAATCTTGTGGTGCAACTGGAATAGTAAAGATCAAATATGTATTTGTCGTATTGCCGTTAACGTTGATCTGAGCAAAGCACATCCTTAAGACCGTAAACAAAATACGCTCCAGTCCGATCTTCGGACGGTGCCAATTAATGTTGGCGTACCTTCAGGAGCGCAAATTCAAGAGCCCCAATTCAGCCCGCCGCCCCCCCCCCGAAAAAAATTGGGTTCCAGCCGACATAACGTGGAGTTGGTTCAGGCCTAAGTTCGCAGAAGAACCCGTCGTTGGTGTTTTTTTCAAGGTACGCTTAGTCATTTTTACTGTTCACACCTCCCTCCAACCTCATTTTGCGAAAGAACGCCTCTTGTGCTCGATCATTTCCCAGTTGGAGAGCCAGCGATGGCTTGACGGATCTATTTGACCGATCGGACCTGATGGTGGCCTCGTACCCGCGTGTAGTAGCCCGAAATCCACCCGTAGTGCGGCAGGCAGTAGATTTAGATTGTTTGTACCACGCCCGTGGTGTATATTCAACCGGTATGCTTAACTTATGTGCGTGACGCATTTCCAGTCGTAACTCAGTTATTACCTGAGATAGTTGCTTGAAATTTGATACAGGTTAATATGCTACTATACGGATTGATATACTATGGTACAGGTTGGTACGTTCTTTATAGCCGTATCTAGGACACTTTTCAAAGCTTCAAAATTTTGAATCCGGGACTAAGAAATGTTGGATATACTTTTTAACAACAATTTTGCTATATGACATGCCAATTTTTCAATGTACAATATTGAAATGACACGACAACGCATATAAATCATGGACAGATTGGCTCACATTTCACATTTATAAATGTAAAAAAATGTTCCTTCGTCCGGCATGTGTGTCACAAATTGACATATTATGCACTTTTAGGACAATATCGGCAGGCATGACGTGATTATTACGCCACTTACCCTTGGTCTATGATAGTCTCATTGTCGTGGCTTTAGCAATAGATGTAGAACACATCAGTCATCAGGTACTGAAAATTTGGCATCGTTATCTTCAGGTGTTTTTTAATTATCACAAATACTCGACATGTGGAACAGGTTCCCCCAGCCAATGCCGGATGGCTTTGGCTTGGCATGTGGCATTGACATTGGCATTTGGCTTGGCACATGGCTTTTGGCATGTATTTTGGACCGACGTGCGAGCAATGGCGGGCTTAAAAAAGACTATTCCAAATTACAAGACATGGAAGGCGTTTGTGAGCCCGAATCAAAGAGACCCCGAAGGTATTTTGATGCCAAAGAAGTGAAAAGATTTCTGAGTTTGCGAGACCGCGGTTAAACTCTTCGGGGCGAGTCGGAGGAGAAAAGCAAAAAGAGCAAGGCATGGGCGAGTACAAACGCGAGGTGTTTGAGGATGCCGAGACTCACCTCGCTGCATGCATCAGGTGTGCGGCGACACCATTAAACATGTTCCGGGTCACGGAAGCACTGGGATGTCATTCCTACAGCGACACATGGTCAGTCGTGCCAAGAAGGAGAATGGCCAGGCGGCGTTCACGCCTTCATCACGTCTTCCACATCTTTCAGCAGTCCTGTCAACACAGGTGAACGCGGTGAAGGGCAGATTGCCAGGACCCGTCGTGATCTACTTGCTGCTGGACATGCGACCTCTGCACCAAGGACTTTTAGTTTCCGAAAAACAACGGTCTCTTAAGAATACTGCGCGGTGATCCACGGCCGGCGTGGACGGCGCACGGCGACAAACTTCCGCGGAGCGCGGTGGGCCGAGATCGTCACACCAAAAGCAATGCTTCACATTTGAAGATATTAAAGTAAGCATCAGATACGATGGAACAAGGTCACTTTAACCATTTGTATGTTTTTCAACAGAAAAGTTTGCCCCAGACAGCGCAATTCTCTGTTTAGTAAATCTGCTCCTCGATCCATCATTGTTTAAATACGACATCGTGCCTTGCACAACGTAGATTGAGAGCCAATTGAAGGTCGTAATATCTGGAAATCATGCTAACGAACGCCAGATATGAACGTCTCGACCCATCACACTTTTCTCGGCCTAAATCGCCTGATGGCTTATGGAATGGCATGACCTGAATGACGTTCTTGTGGCGTCATGAGTGCCAAGGTAACCTTGAAACGCTCTCCCCGAAAAAGCCTTCTCATTTTTTTTTGCGGGCGGTAGCTCAGAAGCTTGAAGGGCTTAGGATTTAAGAAGGACCGGGCTGAGAATTGTACTGACAGGTTTTCAAAATGGCTATTTTAGTTCAAAAGCCCGTATAAACATGAACATTCACGTCAAAGGGAATTTGTCACCCTCCCAATTATTTTTAAAATAAATGCATAAAGCACTTATTTTGAGCTGAAAACATCAAATATGCCATTGGTTTAGACAAAAAGCAGACATTGGGGGAGAAATGAGCAATTCAAAATCAGTCCAAAGTTACCCCTTACAAGACCAACAAAACTTTTTACGATGATGTATAAAGTCAAGATTGGAAGTGAAATATAGTAGCCCACTTCTGATACAGTACTGACAGACAGGTACTATGCAGTACGCAACATTCTCAAGGATAGAGGCAAACCACCCGGCGACCCGACGCTTCATAGGCTTACAGTTGTGGAGCATTGGTAGCGAACAGCCAACAAGAACAAGATAGTCAACAAGAACAATCCTGTTTTGTCGGTTTAAGTTTTTCGCCCACGCTGAAATAATTGAAGCGAAGGTAGTATCCAATTGCAGTGGCATGTATGATTGCAGTTTACATGGAGACTGATCGTGCACAAATAAAAAACAGGATTTGCTCGGTACGTGTTTGTGGTCGTGTTATATGAAAGACAGGCTGTAGGACAACGTGTTGTGGTGGTCTGATCATTGAAAGTTTACACAATCCATCCAGTCATCCAGTTTCTTATACACTAACCGACTGTCATGTTTTTGACCACACCATTGTACACATTGGATTCGCGAGGTAAAGTGAACTTATGTCTATTGTCGCCTTGTGATGACAGAAAGCATTGAATGCTGTGAGTACCCATATCTGTGGTATGAATAAACTAAATGTCCCTGGCCTCTTTTCATGATATCTTTATGTGCATACAATATGGTGCTTAGCATAACACACTGCTTAACATGCATAACATGCATAGAACACTGCTTATGGAATTCGTTGTTTCTATCAGCAATGCATGTACATGATCAAGAACATTTTGCAGGATTGAAGGAATGGGAATGTATGGCAAAAACTTGCGGTGTTATGTGCACTCTAGCAATATAGTTCAGCTTGGCATGTGTTGAGAATGATGGTCCGGAAACACCTGTTGGGAACCAGGGATAATTTGGTGTCGTGTGGAGCCTATTTGTTATGCATATACACGTGTACTGACCGTGACTCAAAACCCTGATGTCTGCCTAGAGCTGTGTTCTGTGTGGTCAGGTTCCTTCTTCATACAGACCCATTGGTGGCCCGAAGGAGGCGGGTGGTGCAGGCAGTGAGCACCCCGGGAATGCTTGCTATGTCAGGAACGCCCCAATGTGGGGTGAGATATTGTCTTACGCAGCCAACAATGTATTGTAATTCCCTGATCACCGATGAACTTAACTACATGTTGCATATTGACGGGTGTCTGTGCTGATCAATTATCCGCTGACTTGGATGCACACTTGTGCTACTCGACACCGGCCTGCGGGCGTTTGCGTTAACCACTGCGCGTGCGGGAAACCAGAGGTGCGGGGTTCGAATCCCCGCGGTACCCGCCCTTCCTGCCAGGGTGCGAGGCAGGCGACG